TATATATATAAATAATTGCATAGTCATAATATTTCATTGTGCGCAATACTTTTAAAGATTCCTTCAGTTTTTCAAACCGCATCAACAGCTTAACACAAATCCTAAGAAATATCCTACTGAATTCTAAGGACAAAAATCTGACATGCATTGACCTGCAATGATTTAATGCATGTGACAGATAGTTTAATAAATGGAAATCACTTTCTTTTAAGATTTTCACACTTGAAATCAAAATGCAATATTTAATTGAATTGGTTTATCGTTAAATTTGGGGTTTGTAATACTGTCATTAGTAACAATTGAACTGTACTCTCTCAATTATTACTCAAGTTTTTAGTTATGCATTATACATACGGCAATGCACAACCAAAATAGAAATTGAGATTTAAAAATAATCAAGGCAACTATTTCTCCAGGTCCAGATCTTAAGATAAGACAAATATTGAATACCGGCAATTATGAATTGAACAATATTAACGTTCGTAAAACAGTGACAAACCAAACTTGATAAGTGTTGAACAAGTGAACAAACTTACCTAATAGCAGAAGTTTTATATCTTTTGCTGCTTGTATACCGTCTTCCTTTAAATTTTTCTCTATTTGCTTGCTCCGAGCTAGAGCCGCCCGCTCCTCAGCAGACATTGCACACCCCATTATGTGTCCACCCTTCTTGACGAACGTGACGCCGGCTTACGGATAAAAGGTTCGTCGACGAAACTCCTGCTATATGCAGAAAAGCAGTCTAGAAGGCTTCACAGAACCGCCGAAGTTCCCTTCATTGGCATAGATGGACACACGCTTGTCCCTCCTCTCCCTTTCACGCGGGCACACACCACACACGCACGCAAGCACGTACGCACAAAAAACACGCACGGACATACACAAACGCTAGCTAACTAGCTAGCTTATAAAATGTATATGCACAACCTAGTATTTACTCATTGGCCATCTGTAAACGGTTTCCAACTTTTTTAACATAATCCTATCATTGGCCTGAATGTTTTACTATCTGTACGTACTCAGCGAAATCTCAATTGCAGCGATCACCAACATTACAGAGTTAGCGAACACTCCCTTCGCCGACGGATATACGAATTATGTCCTCTTGCAGTGCACACTAACGATATTCATACAATTCCTTATTTCCGTTCCTGCGGGATTGCGAGAAAACACCGCAACACTTTTAACAGCCAAGTTAAATCAAAAGAATAAGAAATGAAGAAAACATTTAGAAAAACCACAAACCGCACTCCTCAGCTCCCAAATCTACTGCCGCGCCCTCCAAGCCATTCTCGAACGATCACGGAGTTCTGGGAGCAGTGCGCATGTGTCATATTAGACGTCATTTACGGTACCCAGCGGGTAGCGGGATTCGCTCGTACTGCTCTCTAGTAGGTAAAGGAGAAACTATACAACTGCTTCTCCCGAAATCTCAAAGATGGCGAGATTAAGTTTTTGTATATATTTATAAAAATGAGTGAACTGAGGAATAAATGTTCATCATTACAGAGAATGTTAAAAAAACTTGAAATGTTTATTTTCTTTCTTCTGTCGAAAGCATCTATTATTTAAATGTTCCCATCGTGTAACATTCGACCTACAATTATTATCGTTTTTAATTTACAGTTTCTACTCGTAAGTCGTAAAAAGTTGACTTGGTAATTTAACTATGATTTAATAAGTTTTACAGAAGCAAATCTATGGAGAACACGAACAAATATCTTTTATACTCACCTATAAACGCACTGCAGAATGCATGAACATATTACTGTACAGCACTCCTTTTCATAATAAAAACATCCGGAAAAAATGTTAACTCAGGACTGGTGACTTTTCACTGAGGTCCGTCACTTATAAATTTCTTAAAATATATTATCCACAAAACTAGTAAAACAACAGTCACAAGTTATCTTATAAAATGCATGTAAACAAATATTTGTTCCATATTAAGTGTAAATATTTTAAAGAGCATAAAACCAAAACATTGTTGCTCACTCCCAAAATGTACAGGCAACACTCTTAATTAAAGAAAAGTTACAAAATGGACAGCACAGAATTAGAATATAAAAAGAGCATGTTGTACTTTTGTAAATCATATTTTTTCAATATTCTGGATGTCTGGAATTCAATTCTGAATTTCTTGAGATATTTTTCAAATAATAAACTTACCAAGCTAAGGAAATTAAATCGCATTTTTAATATAATGACCCTAAAAAGCGACTATATTGCTCAAGAAGATAGCTGGCTAATACATTGCTGAGAAAATTATAAAATTGAATACAGAAACAGAATGAGGATTGCCACTTAAGTAATTAACAAACATTTTCATCCTTATCAATGAAGGGAATCTGTCACACGCTCTGTAACACTCCAAACACGTATTCAAAGGAGGAACATTTCATGTGTACACCCATGGTTCTCAATGTGGTTCCTAAAGATTCTCAATAGTCATTGGAACCACTGAAATCGTCTACAGAAAATTAAAATTAATTTGCAGGTGCATAGAAATCAAAGTGTCCATGAATGTTTTCATAAAAGGTAAAATAATTGTAACCCATGTTTTATTGTAATGAAAGTTATAATTAAATTGAAATAAAAAAACTGGTAGTCATCCAATAAAAAGAATTAGTATAGTTAGGTTCAGAAAATTCAAGAAAAGACAAGAATTGGGCATTGAAAGTCATGCTAAGCTTCCAATCCAACCCTTCACATCTGAGGATAAACAGATTTTATGATGCTATGAGGCTGTTTTCACCCACTTCAATAAAATATTTTAAAAATTATTTCGCTTTTTTAATTTTATGATAAAAGTTATTATTTAAAGTAATATGACTTTAACTATAAAGATCTCATTTATATTACATTGCTACATTATCACTGAAGACTTCAAAGTTAAACTTGTAATTTCAATATTAGGTAGTGAAATACTTTCACTTGTGTTCAAGTCAGGTGATTGCTACAAGGGTCAGTGGGGGATAATAAGAATGGGAACCTCTGGTATATTCAGTGACACAAAATATGATCAAATAGATTTTATTTGTGTTAATAAAATAATTAGCTTCTGTACCAACACACTTCTAGTCTAGCAACTAGCTGTCATGTATTCCTTCCACTGTACTTCTGAAGGTGACAGAGTAGTTACCAAATCGCTTATTTAAGCAGCAGTCATATACAAGAAACACCACAGGAAAAGAAAACAAAGCTGCTAGCACATGGAAGTTGTACAGAACAATGTCATGTATCAAGTTTCAATATTACTTTAAAAATTCAAAATGAATACACAAAAAATATCCTCTCTAAAACTACACTTATCATTTATCATACTACTAACAGGTCCAGTGATTAATTGCAGGAAAACTGTATCTGAAAGTACAAATGGAAAGAAAGTACACCAATGTTAGTCAGTTATGAAGTGTGCAAAGAGAAATGCACAGCATAATTTCATAACACCATTAGGCAAGACAGGCCATTCTCAATCAAATGCACTTTCTAAAGACAGTCGTATGCAGAGTGATAGCATATGCACTGTCACATTAAAAATATATTTGATTTAAAGTTGTACTGAACAGTTTGTAAATAAAATACTATTACATCAAACCATGGCAGTATCTTCCACATCATTCTGCAAATATTTATAACACAGAATAAACCTGGGATCACAAAATAATAGAATCTCATTCTTCATTTAAAACTAGAGATTCAAATATCAAGTTTTAAGTGACATGACTAGAAACATTTAACTAAACAATACTGCACAAGTTTTCCATGCAATATCATCTTCAAACACATGCAGTAGTGCAGGTGCATGCATAATCTGGAATGGTTGTTAAATGGAGTAAGATAATTACAACAAAGCTCACTGTTAACACTAATGATTTTTATATATGAATGAGAAAAATTTGTACTGTGGTTTATTAATACAAGAAAACAAATGACACTATTGTTTTTATTTGACATGGTTGTACTTATGGTAATTCATATTTCACAATACATTACGAACTAAATGATCACAATAAATTATAATGACCAAGTCACTCGAAATAAAAATTAATTCTCATGCCTAGATCAGTTGTCTTCTTCTTCTTTTTT